GATACAACATTATCTTAAGGATATCTTAGCGTTTGTTAGGCTCTAATTTTGCAGTAATTTTTAAGAAACACAAAAATAACATAAATATTTGAATTCACCTTTTTGTGTTTTTAACATTTTAATAATCCAAGATAGTTTCTGTAGAAGCTTGTCAAATAATTCACTCACAGTTGGTCACTTCAAAAGAGCAACCATAGACAATCCAAAATCCGTATTTACTTTCGTTGTTTTTTTTCGGGCTGTGCCCGTGAAATCGCACTCTTCTAGGAAGTTGTTCATTACGGGCGAAACGAAATTTATGTCGCCAGCATTTTAAATGATTTGTGGACATTTATTTATGTTTAATTATTGCACAGTTCATTTGCTTGCATAATTGTGTGCTGTTGTTATTTATAATTAAGATTTTTAAATAATAGCATGAATTAAAATGAATCCTACATTTAAGTTTATTATGTGGTGGCAATTTGAAATTAACGACAAGATAAAAACCAGTAACCGGTTTAAAAGTTAAAGATATTTGAATGTTAGGGCTCAAAACCGATTAATAATTTCTTTTGAATCAGTTAAATATACGAGGAGTGCAGCTGTTTATTCACAATTTTCTGGAAGCTTCTTAGAAAAATACACTTAGGTAGATTGTTTCTACCGGAATAAATTTTCATTGAACCGCCCGAGATTATAATTAAAACAGATAAAAGAAGTGCAATAGATCAAAATAAAACACAGATCAAAGACAATCTAAACTTTCGCAATCTAGATGTCGGTTGAAATCGTTTCCATGTGGCATTAACACACGTCGCCCAGTATTTATGTGACATAACCTACGACCGAACAACAAAGACGCACATTAACAATTTCAATACGTGCCCGGTATGGTAATCAGAGGCAGATTACCACGACAACTCGAGGGCAAGACGACGAGGTATCCAATGCATTTGATTCGGTGACAATACGTTCTTGTATCTTTCGATAAGAAGCAAATCAGTAACAGTGCATCAATCTTAATCTCAAAATTGGCGGGAACAATTCAAGAATAACCCCCTTTTTGCTCACCTATTTACTTTTTATTCGACAGAAAAAGTAATTGAAAGATTGGCCGCTAACAAAATTAAAAAGAAAATAAGTTTGTAAAATCAAAATGACAGCAGAAAAAAATGAGAACAACAAAGTGGGTTTATTGACCGAAACTGTATTCCATTTTCAAAACTGACACTAAATTCTGTGGCGCGCAAATCGAATGACAAAAACAATCGATACATCAAACCTCAATAACGACAATTCGAAATGGAGACTGTGTTATTGCTTATCGTAAACCTTTACTAGTTGAGTTTCTCCGAGTTTATATGACTGTAAAAGATCCTGTATTTTAGTGGACGGTTAAAACTAAGTAGGTTATTGCGAACCGAGTCCGCATCGCCTACATGGTATTCAATAATAAATAAAAGCGAGCTAATGGCGAAATGCAAAAACCAATAACCTTTAACTTTAAAAATCCTACGTAACTGACAAAGGGTTGCCATAAAATCTCAAACTAAACTTTTACATTTTGGAACAGTACCTACAAAAGAAAATTATAAGCAAATCCGTCTACAGACATGTTAAAAAAACTTTTTTCTCACTGCAGAACATAAAATTCCGCCACACATTAGTTGCACAGTGCATTTTGAGAGCGCATTGGGTATGCTGCGTGTGCGCACAGAACACACGAGCGCATTAACATTCTCGGCTCTCGCGAGGGTTCTCATAGTGCCGCATTATATCTAGGGCTGGCTGGACGACATATTTCTTTTCATTTTTAAATTGGGTTGACACAATAATCAAGGATTCCGAGGGCACTTCCCTAAAAAAATATGACTGGAGAAAAAAAACTCTTCATCTCAAGTAAGTGACTATTTTAATCTAGAATTCCGTAGCAACTTCTTTTAAAACACTTCACTTTACGCCTAAAAAACACTATCCATTTTTCATGAACTAACATTTTTAGTAATTTACCTACTGAATTATAAAATTCATAAATCTCTTCATAACAAAATCTATGGAGTATTCACGCTTTGACAACACATAAAAAGTATGTCAATTGATTAGTGTCAACTACCTAAATATCCATGTGGCTGATTTGGCGCTTCGGGCGGCATATCCGGGATCCGGTTGAGCCGTTTACGGCATTCACGGCTTATAACAACTGATGCTAAATTAATCTTTATGTTTAACAGTAAATAGGTACTATAATTTATTATTTTTTACTATATCCTGACTCTTGAGTCTTTTTATCTCTTTATTTCTCTTATATCGATCGGTTAGTTTTATTTTATTTCTATGTGGAACACAGATAAAATAATTTGAATGTCGAATTCATCGTTTATAATTTTACTTTGATATTTTTAAAAATATTTAACCCTAAAAGTAGATTATTTAGATTACTCATCGTTGTATTATTTTTAGACCCTCACTTTGTAATTTTACTGTGAATAGAAAAAACTTTATCTTGATCTTTTTATTACTTTGACAACCCTAGTTTATATCTGTCCCCATAAATACGAAAAACTTTAGCTTTTTCATTTCTGTTGACTTTTATTTTTGATTACACTATCCATAAAAAGTGATTAACAAAAGACTGTTGAACTCGTTAAATTTTAACAGATTTTTTATGCAAAATGCTCAAGTAAAAAAATGCTTAGTTTCCTCCTACCTTGTTAGAGCAACAATATAGTCATTATGTTACACAGGCGTAACTAATGTCTACTTTTTGACGGCTTAAGATCTTAATAATGTACGCATAATGGCTCGTAATACGAATTAAGAGCAAATCAAGTTAATTAGATACAGAAATACCTACAGAGCGTAGGAAATTCGATTAATATCATGAATAATTCACCTCGGATAACAACCAAATAAAACGATTGTTCGCTTCTGAGAACAACGTGTTTAGATTTCAACTTTTGGATACCTACTTGCCGGCGGCTTTTTTAAGCAAAAAAACTATGTGTTATCTTCCATCTTTTCAAGTTATATGATCATGGACAGGGGGTTAATAACATTCAAAACGTAATATCTTTGAACGGTTAACTGTAATTTAATTTGAAATTCGAAAATTATAGGCATTTCTGTAACACACGGCCTATAAAATCAGTCTTAAAAAAATTGTACTCAATGTTTTCCATAGACAAAAAATACCTAACACGTTTCAGTGTTGCATTCCGAAACGAAATCGCACGTAAAAAGCCTTCCAAAACTCGGTTTTCGAACTGGCCACTCGTGACCCCGCTTGTCGCATTTTACTGCGCCATAAAAAAAAGAAAATAATTTTTGAAATATATTTTTTCTTTAAAAAGAATAAGGGGTTATAAATATTCCCTTTTTTTGCTCCGCGACGGTCACCTCATTGAAAAATGGCCGTCTCAAGATTTCGAATAAGAAAAGGAATTTGTACAGTATCCCTTTTTCGAATGTAAGTTTTTGTTATATCGCGGACCATAATTTATTTAGGTTTGATGATGTGCTAAATAAGGAACAATATTACATGATTTTAGTTGAAAAAATACATTAATGTCGTCGTCCATAATCTTCAGTTCATTTTGGTCTTTTTAGAAATGGTTTTATGGCTCTATTTTTGGGTCATTTTGATTCAAATAGATGTTCACTGTTCACTTTCTGTGAATCTTGCATCACCTGTGTACAGCCTAACGTATCATTACAATTATAATGAAACCATTAATTTTTGTAAGGACATCCCAGCTTTTTCACAAAGCAGGTGCATTGAGCACATTGATGGGGCAAATAGCGTTATGTCCAAGGGGTCGTAATAAAAAATAAATGGCATTACAATTATCAACATTGTCCTTGTCGCTAGTGCTCCGCCGATGAACATTTCAATTATTCCGGACATTTAGTTAATTAAAATTTCTATGAAAGAATTATTGCATTCGTACCATTTTAGATGTCCTTACTTACTGGAATTGAAGTTAACGTTTTCTGTGTAAAGTACGCCTACGTACGCTACTTTTTGCCCATTTTGTCTATTTACGAACTTACATCCGTTTACAAGGCATGCTTGGTACTAAAAAGGACATTTCGTTGCCTGTGCGTGAGTATTTCAAATGATTGTGCAGCTTTCTTTTTTTAAATTCTATCGAACGTGGGTTTGAAATAGGAATAAAATAATAAAAAAACAAAACGCACAAAATAAACATCACTTTGTTTGTTACCTAACTTTTTAACACGTGCCAATGTTTGGGTGTTTGGGTTCGAAACAAAAGTGGTTCTAGTTTTAAAATTTGAAAGAAACTTTTTTCTAAATGTGGCCAGTTATCTTTTGTTTTAAACTTCGAACTCAANATGCTTGGTAGGTACTATAAAGGACATTTCGATGCCTGTGCGTGAGTATTTCAAATGATTGTGCAGCTTTCTTTTTTAATTCAATCGAACATGGGTTTAGAATAGGGATAAAAAAACAAAACACACAAAATAAACTCACTTTGTTTGTTACCTAACTTTATAACACGTGCCAATGTTTGGGTTTGGTTTTGAACTAAAGTGGTTCTAGTTTTAAAATTCGAAAGAAACTTTTTTCTAAATGTGGCCAGTAATCTTTTGTTTTAAACTTCGAACTCGCTTCGTCGGTGTATAAAAAAGCAATGAACACTTGTTTGTTTCTTTCGCTTCATCATCAAACCGAAGTAATTTGACGCCGTGGTATTTGTTTGAGCGTCTAGAATTACTTTGTTACTGATCAGGCGCAGATCAGACTATTGTCACGTCTTGATTGTAGTAAGTACACAACTTCAACACAGACTTGTTTTGAAAAGCGCAAGTTTGTACTTTACACTCCGTCATATCAGCGACGTAGGTGATGCAAATTGTTCTCGGTCCGTACACGACCCGTTGATAAGCCTATGCTGTACATTACTGAACACATGATACCATGCCGGCTGCTGAACTAACCTTAGTCGTGTCAAACAAAAATACGGGCGAAAACGGCCACCGACCCCAAATGAACATACCTAAAAGAGCGCATGGCGAAAATCCACCAAAACACAATCACAACACGCACGTTACATTATTATCACACACTATGCACTCGCGAAGCTCGTAAAATGTACACTGGTCATTATTTTGATAATCGGAGCGACGTAAATACACCCGACTTGGTCGCGAAGCGCGATTGAACTGCACACTACGAAACGCCGAGCGGGAGCGCACACAGAGGCGGTACGCACACATGGAAGGCGTGCACCGACGGACGCGTTTAAAAAACGAACGATCGGTATGCAGACGTTCGGTTCGGAGCAGGTCCTCGGCTGGCGCTGTTTTGGTCTGCGGTCCGGGGTGCCAAGGAGGTGAGATTATTCTCCACGCTTTCTTAGAACTACGAAGGCATTCTGCGGGGAGATTTACCCCGAAAGTTAGTTTAAAGATTTTGTGGCCGCAGGTGAAACTTTTGTAATTAATTCGACGGTTTGTTAGTCAAAGCCATGAGTTAACTGTAAATTGGGTAGGTACTAGGTACCTAATTAATTTTCCTTAAAAGGAATTATTTGTCAGCTGGAAAAGGTTATTTTTATTTGAGCAAAGCTAAATCAGTGAGTGACACTGTAAAACTTAAGTAAGTAGTACTTAAGTAGGTATATTATTGTATGTAATTGTAGGTAAATATCAGATACTTACTCAATTTAATTCATACTATTAAATTATGTACCTAGGGTACGAGCACAAAACATGTTGTGTTTTGTGACTTACGTGTTAATACTTAGTAGCATAGTAATTTAGGTAAGTTTAAGTCACGCACAATGACGTCAGTTTAATTGATAAATAAGCCCGCTAGGTGGTGTTCGTGATTAAGTCAATACGAGAAAAACACAAAAAATCACTTAAAGAAACCTTACACTAAAAACGTCTTAAGAATTTTCCCCGTCTTCAGGGAGCCCCGCGCCTTGTGGCAACATTAAAAACAAAAGAACGGCAGTCAGCGAACCTTGAGTGGGCAGGCGATACGATTCGAGCCTGCGCCCGAGTCAGCGCGCCATGTTGCCGAGGCGGAAGCGGGACGGCGCGCTACAATCTTATCTCCATCTCGCTCGCACGCTTGTTAGCGTTATTGCGTGCTGTAACTATACTCGTCAGCGAGCACACACCCACACGCACGCATTGTTATCTCACACAAAATTTATAACGAGCAAGTCGGATTTCGTCTCAGCGGACACTCCTAAATTCTTTGCGGAAGGATCTCGTTTTTTTCGTGACGCCTTCGCCCGAGGCGAAATAAAATTATAATGGCGGATAGTTTGTTTTGCGATTCGGTTCGTTATTTTGGCAGCATTGGCTGTTGGGATTGTGAATGAAGTTTATTAGCCGGCGACAGTAGATTTCCGAGTAGGTATATCATTCACTGCGCGTGGGTTATAAGTACCTACGTATCTTGGTTGCGCTTGCGTTTATATTTAACCACGAAGAGAGGTTCAGTAGGGCCAGACGCGAAGTAAGGATCACTACAACTCTACAACCAACAGGTTGACACGCGCTGGCGTTCGCGGTATTTTTGACATTTCACGCATAATAAGGCTATGCGCACACGGGTGACTTTTTTAACCTTTTTGGCACCGAGATATGATCGTATATCTTTCTCTTTTACACTTTTATATTTAATATTTATCGCTGGATTGAATTTTAATTACTTTTTCTTCCATTAACTGCGCCCACTCTAAAATTCTAGAGTAGTTTTTTGTTGATTTGGTGTTTAATTTATTATTTAATTAATAAAACAAACATTGCGTCCTCAAACGTCAACAGCGTCTTGGCCCGCGGACTAAGCTAAAAGTGAACCAAGTCGCTGGAAGACTTGCGTCGAAATTTTGAAACCGCGCGCTCCTAAGACCGAACCTACTAAAAGCATTTCTCTTATAAATTAAACTCCAAGCGCAGTGCATTGTTTTACGTTAATGACTGACACGTTTTATGCGTTTATCTACAACTGTCGTGGCGTGGCGTGGCGTAATGGCCGCCACGACGCTTGGTGTGGTCAGCTCGAGATGGGTGACCGGCAACTTTCTAGCCCTAATGAATGTGACTATTGTTTAATTGTTATTAGTTGTGCAAAGCACAGTCGAGCACATTCTGTACATTTATGTTGTGAAATAGCTTTTATTACAACTCGATACGAACCCACAGTGTTTAGCTTGACGTGCTGTCGTATTGTTAGGCTGAGTTGCACCACCAAACTTTAACTGTAACTATAACGATAACCGGTGCTTTTTATTATGGAGTATGACAGATTTTTGACGTTTGTGAAAGTTAAAGTAAAATGGTGCAACCAAAGCCTAAATATCAATTTAATAGAGCTCAACTAGAGTTTAACTTTTTGTAGTAAGGTTTCCCCTTATTACAAAAAGTTATGTCGTCGTGTCGTCAGATCAGTTAAGCTCTTTAAATCTAGTTTCTAGAGGTTACCGTTTGATTTAATGATTAATGACATTTACCTTAATAAACGACTTGTACAGTAGGGTCATAATTCTGCATAGTTAGTAATTAAATTCAAAATAGATTTCGTATTAATTAGTAAAGTTTAAATGCGCTGATTGTTTACATATTAGGTGTACTATAACATACTTACCGTGTGTGCGTTTTTGAAAGGGCAGGAAAGTTCTCGAGTGGCGACCACGGGCTGGAAGACGTAGCGTGGGCAGGCCTCCTACTAGGTTGACCGACGATCTGGTAAAGGTCGCGGGAGGAGCCTGGATGCGGGCGGCGCAGGACCGTTAATTGTGGAAGGCCTTGGGGGAGGCCTTTGTCCAGCAGTGGACGTCCTTTGGCTGAAACGAACGAACGAACGTGCGTTTTTAAAGAATATTTCATTTCAACAATTTCAAGATCTTTCACTAGAAGATCGCTGATGAAAAAATAATCTACTGTGTACGAAATTATATTATTAGAGATTGCTCTACCACATACTACATGTCATACCGTACCATATGAATAAAACCCTAACTTTGAGTTCCGTTAAGTATCCGGTTAAAACTAAAACTAGTTCTACTCTTACAAAGTAACTAATTAGCTTACTAAGAATAAAGGCAGATCTGTATCGGGACATTATGGCCTCTTCACCAATGTTCTTTACAGTGTTTTTTCTTCGCAGGAGAAATTAATAATAGTTAATCATAAAAGGCGACGACACGTTATGCCATATTCGCTAACCGGCGCAGTGAAGGGCGCGAGCATAGTGCATGGGCGGAAGCGGGTGCGGTAGCGGAATGTTATAATAGAAATGCTATATAATTTATGTTTTTTGTTTTGAAGTTGACTGCGAAAAAATAATGATCTAGGACTATTTGTACTGTTCAGTTGTGAAACCAGCGCGTGTCGTCGTCATTAGACGTAGAATTCTCGTGCAATTTTTTCATAGTATAGTACTTTACCTATCTAATACCAAGTACATCATTCTTCTGTGGTACTACTACTAGTCTTGAGATGAGTGTTATAGAGTCCGATGCAGGTAGGGTTGCCAGGCGTCCGGCTTTAGCCGGACATGTTTGGCTTTTTACGGTCTTGTCCGGCCAAATATTGTCTTGTCCGGCCTGTCCGGCTTTAGTTAGGCCGGACAGGCTGCGCCAGGCGAAAGTTGAGGCACAGAATAATATGAAGCGCACGCATCAGGATGTTATGTTGGGCAACCGATGATACGATGACAGTACTCACTCGTGAGCTATGACGCTAATTGCTTTTAGGGTAAAATGTCAAAATGAAGCACAGAGTCGGGCTTTTTTGATTTTGGACCTGGCAACCCTAGATGCAGGTGCTATTAGATTTCAGAACAAAAAAAAAGATAAATTAAGGCAAAAAATAAAAAGATTTTGTGATCTGTGATCTATGGCTTTCTGAACTAGTTTGAAAAATGTGGAGAAAAATATATTTCTGCTCTGTCTGTCTGCTTCCTTCAATCCCGCTCCGCTCATGCACTATGTTATTGTCCTAAACCTGACGCAGCGCAGCTAAATACCTGCCTACACGATGATTAAATAGCTCCTTAGCGAACTACTCCCTAAGGCTTCCTGCAAACTTGCGATTTTGCGACATTAATTTTAGGCTATCTGGCAGAGGAATGACTTCGCTTGGAATTAAATTAATTTGTTTCATAAGAACAAACTTAAATTTTTACACGAATAAATATATAAAAAAGATACTTGTAGGTCTTTTTATTCAATAACTACTACTGACGAATATAAATCCTGATCCCAGAGCCAGTTTCACCATCCATTGGGATCTTTTCTGTCAGATAAAATTTTATCTGATGCTTACAAACGAAGTCACCAGTAATAAGTAACAATCAGTTAACTGACTGAAACTCTATCAACCACCTGGTACTTCACCAAATTCACCATTTAAACCAGTCTTGGCACTGTCAAAACACCCTGTATAATCTTTCCAACCATTCTTAACTAACAGTAGGTAAGTAACATTAGTTTTTACGATTAGCTCTCTGACCCAATGGTCGGCGCGCACGGAATGTTGTCCCACCCCCAATCTATGCCCTTTCCACCCCCTATCTATTCCTTTCCCACCCTCTGATATAAGAGATGTTTTATTGCTATTTCTCCACGAACTCCATAAATACTGGGATTACAAAGGTTTAGTATGTTCGGTGATAAATAGAGAACTGAAACAGAAATAAAAATGTTTTCTATACAAGTATTGTTGGTACTTTGGCGTGGAAAAATTAACAGCAGCTAGGGACAGAAAATGATTAGACAATATAAACTAGGACAGACTGTTTAGTCTTTATTTAATGGTTTATTTAAATTCCAAATCCTTCATCTAATTTACCTAAAATCCTGGCTACAAAGTAGTTGCCACAGTGGAAACGAGAGATGGGAATAGTCCCGACCGAGTTTTACCTTGCTTGTAGACGTTCTGTTGTCTAGTTTTAGTTATTATCTTGCTGTGTACCTACTTGCATCGAATAAATATTTTTCTTTCTTTCTTTCTTCTTTGTTTCTAATACATAGTCGTCCGTGTGTCTTCTGGCGACTTTTGACGCGTTCTTTTTCTTTCTGCTCCTAGAATTGATATAAATCATTGGCCTACATTCAGTGGTTTGCTGTCGTTCGACCACTATACATTGGGCAGAGTTTAATTTTCTCCCGGGACAAACTTGACCTTCACTGGTTGGGTTTTTATCAGCGGCCAAGCTGTTTAGAACAGTTTTATATATAAACTATATTTTAACACTTTATAAATGTTAAGCCTAACTTGTTAACTAGTTTAAACCAGTTTAAACATGTCCGTCCTATTAAG